ACATGCTACTAAAATACCAAGGAGAAATGAAAGGGCAGGAGTAAGTCATTGGCAGACAACCATGGCAGAATCTCTTTATTTAACCTGCAAAAGAAAAAAAGAAAGAAAGGCCTTATAAATCCCCATTATACAAGTGATAAATGTAATGGCTCTAATTCTTTATAAAGTTGTCCATTACTCTACTCAGTCTAATTTTAAGTGGGGATGCTAAGAAAGATCGCAAGAGTCACCTTTGTAATTTTAGTGGTATTCAAAGTCTGCTTTGGCCTCAGCCTACATATGTCATACCATATTTCTTCTCAAAATATATTAAAGTCCAGCAATTTGTCTTATTCTGGATCAGACCAATTCTTAATTTTGACTGACTGGAATTCTCACATTTTCTTAATCCAACCTGGAGAAACTAGGAATTGCTCCTGGGAACTTTTGCATCCAAAGCATGTACTAGAACAGTCAGCAATAGCGGTGTAATGTATTTTATCTACACATGTCTGAATATAGTTCTATACATACAGCTGCAAAGTAATTCATGGGAACTTAATTTAAACCCATTTTATCTTTTTTTCTCTTTATTGGTATCATATGAGTGGCCACCATTTATTCTGCTATTTATTATAGCAGAATAGAAAATGCCTAGTGAGCTCCTCTCATATGTGGGCCAGCTACTTGTTTGGATGTGAAAGTATTGTATGTATTAGGGCTGTACAGCACTTCATTCACCAAAAGGTGTTCCAGAGCATGTCAGTGTGCAAGCATAACACCTGCGTGAAACAGCTTAGAATAGCTGTATCCTATGTGCTCTGAAACATCTTTTGGAGATTGGATCTGGGGGACTGCGTAACCTAAATGTCAAATAGGTTGCCACAGGAAGTAGCGGGCTCTCCTTCACTGGAGGTATTTAAAAAGTGACTGGATGGCCACCTGTTGTGAATGCTATAGGAGCAGAATCTTGCCCTGGCAGAGGGTTGAATTAGATCCTCTTCAAAGGACTTTAAGGTCTTTTGAAACACTTACAGTTATTTATTATAAATATATTGATACATGAATTCAATGCTCAAGTGAACTGATTTGGAATAGTATACATCAGCGGTTCTCAACCTGTGGGTTGCGACACGATTTGGGGTCGAACGACCATTTCACAGGGGTCACCAAACAATGCAGTCTGCCATTTTTTCCCCTTTTCCTTAGCTGTGCTACTCCCTTTTATTCTATTGGCTTTTGAAAGCCAATAGAATAGACTCTCTTGAATAGAGTCTAATTCTATTGACTTTCAAAAGCCAATAGGAATTATCCAGGCTGTCTCTGCTCTGCTGAGCCCACCAAAAGCCCCATTCTGCAAACGGTGCTGCAAGTTGTCTGTAGTGAAGGCGAGCTGTCTGGAAGTTTCCACCCCTCCCTGCTGAGCAACTACTAAAAATGTAAGTAAAAGAGGGCCAGGGATGGGAGGTGGGAGGCTGGCGGGCGCAGGGAGGGTTGCTGGTGCGTGTGGGGCCTGGCAGGTGCCTTATCTTCCTTGGGCTGGGCCAGCTGGTGGCCCAGCCAGTGGTCGCCCTGCGCCGTTGCTACCCCTCGGCCGGCGCAGGGGGCGGCACCACACATGCGCGGCGCTCCCGGGCAGGGAAAGTCCTCGACTTACGACCAGTTGGGTAGTCCTCGACTTACAACCGGTTGAGTAGTCCTTGACTTACGACCGGTTGGAGGTCGCAGCATTAAAAAGGTTGAGAACCACTGATATACATGTTATCAAATTGGATCTGTACCTATTGACTAAATGAACAAAAGCTCACTATCTCAAACTGTCACTGGTGATTAGTATAGCATTTATTTACATTCGTCTCCATTTTTCTTTTCCTCCATAGCAAAATTTATTCTGCTTGATTGTGTTGCATGATTCTGTTTATATTAGCAGAAGACTAAACTCAGCAAATAAATTATTTCTGTATCAGACTTTCCATAAGATAATGTTTCTCAGCCTAAGCAACTTTAAGATGCATGGATTTCAACTTCCAGAATTCTCCAATCAGCCAGCTGGAGAATTCTGGGCGTTGAAATCCACATATCTCCAAATTGCTCAGGTTGAGAAACGCTGGCATAAGATATATTTGGTTTTCTAAAAAATTTTTTGGAGGGAAATAGAAAGCTAGGATGGCTTCATCTGTGTTTACTTTTTCATTACCTCGTCTCTTGAATATAACATTCATATTTTCTGATACATTAAGTAAAGCCATGCCAGATCCTTGCCCCTCCAAGAATTTGTCACCATTAATTTTTCTCAACCTCAGTCAAAGTAACTACAGAAGATTAACTTCTATTTTTTTTTCTCCAGCAATTTTAGAAACTCATGCTCACTCTAATTATGCCCCAACTGAAGAATATTATTTGGAGTAAATCTTCTGACTAACCTTTTCTCCTTCCTGTGCTGGCACAAAGAATTCTACATGTGTTAATTCGATTCCATCTTTCTCTGCAGCATGAACACCTTTATCTAATAGTATCACAACTGGCATGGAAATTTTCTTTTAAATAAACATGGTAGGGAGAGCATAAGGAACATGATTCTTTCCAGTTTTTTAAACACAGTTTCTCTCCAGATCATAACCAAAGAAAGACCTTAGAATGGAATAGCTGGGAGCATTTTTGTGATGCCAGCCAACTGTTTCTTGATCCCACACTGAGGGATTTTTTTTCTCCCTAGATATTTGTTGCCCTGTATCCCATTGGATGTGGACTGTTTTTTTAAACTCATTTTTTTCTGATTTCTTCCCTCTTTTCCAACACAAAATTTGATCCCATTCCATTCTCTTTTGAAAGAGTTTTTCCTGTCTCTTTTGGAAGAGGCAGATGGTCAACATCCCCAAGCTCCTTAAGACAATTTCTTTCAACAATCTGTTGAATTGGAAATAATTTTTAAAAATATAATGTACATTGACTAGGCACTTATCATGCATCTCTATTGCCAAAGGGTTGCCTGAGTTCTCCTCCAAAAATTGAAAGAGAAATACATAGAAAGCCCCACGTTAATATATGTCATAAGACAGAAGGAAGCTCATCCACCTCTTCAGTTGTGCTAATAGGCATCTGGAGAGGTCAGAGTTAAACTCTTCATGGATGAGTGTACTGACATAGAAATCTTTTAGAACATATTGCTACTACATAACCTATAAGGTACATCCAATTAGTGTCTTTTATGTGCTTTCCTCCAAAGTGTCACCAAAAATTTGCTCTGTCCGAATAGTAGTCTCCACCACTCTGCCTCCTTAATGAAGCTGTTGATGTCCTAACAGTTGAGGTCCATGGATTTCCGGATTTCCCAGATAGCGGGAGAAATGTCCACCAAGGTGGATTAATGTGATGGGGGACTCCCAGGTAAGAAGGAGAGGCTTTTCCCTCCTGTTTAATGGGGAAAACCTATGCTCTCATTGTAGGTTACCAGCAATATCTGGTATGTGGTGCTGGATATTACCCTGTATTTCCAAAAGAATGGGAACACCCCCCCTCCAGATCTCTTAGGATCTCTAGTAATAGAAGATTAACTGTAGTAATTTCCTGACCCTAGAAGCTTTCTATAATATAATTCAGTTTAATAGCAATTTGAAAGGAAGGAAGGAAGGAAGGAAGGAAGGAAGGAAGGAAGGAAGGAAGGAAGGAAGGAAGGAAGGAAGGAAGGGACCAAAACAGGAAGGAAAGAGGGAGGAAGGGAGGGAGGAAGGAGGCATACAACTTTCTTATTAATGATTCCTTCAATTGGCTGCTGTGAAAATATACCCAAGGTTTAGCTTTAATGTTTTAAGAAATGAACTGTACATTTTTAGAATGAAAAGCAATATTTACCTCCCATACTATCAATTAAAATTCAGCACCTTGGAATTAAATTCCTTTCCATTATTAAAGCAAAGGAAATACTATGACTCTCTATGCCAGTTCAACCTGATCTTTTATCTGGTTTGCTTTCTTAAAAAGCTACCATTCTAGCCATTTCCATCATGTCCTGAACATGGAACAGAATATGTTTCTTAAGGAAGTGTCAAGTTTATTTTTGCATCAGGCATGCTTGATGCCTATTGAGTGTGACAGATCAAAAGTGAGTTTTCAGAACATAGATGCCTAGAATAGATTGGGGAATATGCTTCCTGTGGATCATTTGGATTTTATCAATATCTCCAATCACTGACTTAGAGCCAGCTTGGTGTAGTGGTTAAGGTACCAGGCTAGAAACCAGCAGACCATGAATTCTAGACTTCTAGTCCTGCCTTAAGCATGAAGTTAACTGCATGACCGTAGGCCAGTCCCTCTCTCACTTTAGGAATCCTAGGAAGAAGGCAAGGGGAAACCACTTCAGAATTTTTTTGCCAAGAATATTGCAAGGATTTGTCCAGTCAACTGCCAGGAATCAACACTGATACCAATCTACAGAGAGAGAGAGAGAAAGAGAGAGAGAGAGCAATCACTCACTGGCTGAGAAGTTGGCAAATATAAACTTTTGCTCAAAAGGGTTAGTACTATAGAACAGAGGTCCCCAACTTTTTGAGCACCAGGGACCAATTCTCGGGAGAGAGGTTTTTCCGCGGCCTTGGGGGGAGCATGGTTTTGTGTGCGCCTGCATCCCATGAATGGGGCTTTGCTTGTTTGTGTGGACCATGTGTGGCATGCAGCCGATCAGTACTGGTCCACGGCCCAGGGGTTGGGGACCCCTGCCGTAGAAAGTAGCTACCGCTGAGGGTTTTGATAGAGTCACCGGTGTGCCAAAACAAGCATAATGAGGGACAGGCTGACCCCTTCAGAGAAGTTTGGGTGTTGAACTGAAGATGCTCTGCTGTTAAAAGGTATTTTCTGAAATCAGAGCTGCTGCCCAAATAAAATATTCTCATGGGTATGCAGGTATGTTTTGTCTTGTTTCGGCTGGCTTTTAAGTGTTAAGGATTTGATAAAAGTGTGATAATGAACCCACACGCGTACGCACCCCCCCCCCAGACATGTTTCCATGCTTGCACCTGTAGGAGGAAAGAAGGAGCTGCCTTCGTTTCAGGGCGAAGGCAGATGCTCTTCTTTCTGGAACGGAGCCTCTGCTCCGAAGAGGCTCCGGGTCGCCCTCGGTCACCTCGAAAGGCCACCTTCGCTCCTCCCTCAGGCTCCGGCGGCGCCTCCTCTGTCCTGCCTCCTGCGACTCCCGCCTTATCTTCGCAGGACCGGTCGGTCGATGCCCGGGGACGGGCTCTGCATCCTGCCGGCCGGGTCCCACCGTCGCTGGGCGGATGCAGCCTTCCGTTGCCCCTGCCTCTACTGAGCCTTTAGCCATGTTGGACCCCGCAGGTAAGTGCAGACGGCCGAGCCCGGCGGGCCATTTCCTCGCGGCTTTGAGGTTTCGGGGCGCCCCCCCCCCGTTGCTTCTGACAGGTCAAACGATTTATGGGGCGAGGGCGTTAGCATGGGAGTTATTCCCTTTTGTGGTCGCTTACGTGAGATTTTACACACTGTGGACCCTTCCTTCCCCCTCTCCTCACCTCCCCCAGATCCAGCTACAGTTATGCAAAAACTATTCAAGGGTGTTCTCGGGTTCTTTTCCCGAAGCGAATTCACATGACCACGAAATGCGTGTTCAGAAGGTGAGCTGATTCACTTTAGCTTGCAAATATTTGAGGCAGTCCATTACCAGTAGTAAGGCTGCACTTTAAGTTCCGTTTCATTTTCAAGTAAACATTTTTATAAAAGGAAGTCTCATAAATCACACACACACCCATTACTTTCATACACCTCTCAAAACTTTATGCATTGTAATATGGTTTTATTTTTCTCCTCCATCTCAACTACTTCAGTATCCAATGGTTTAACTTTTGGAGTTGTCCCATTCGTTAGAGTTTGAGAAGTCTTGCTTATGAGCTCCCCTGCCAAAGATATATGCCTCTTTCCTTCTAGTCAAAGAAAGATCATGCCACCAGACTGTAACTTCTGTCATGAAAAGCCAGCACTATACATAAACCTCATCTCAAAATATCTATATAAAGAAAAATATGCTATCAAAGATCATTTCTTGTGGGTCCTCATGAAGCTTCGGATATCAGCTGCTTAGATAATTAAAAGTGTCTAGACATTGTGAAGAAACCTTGTTGGTTATTATAACCAATCAGTGTGTTGTATGATAAATTTGGGAAAGCTAGCTATTAGAACAGCTTTCAAGCTAAGATTTTCAGTACTTAGGGATTTTGCTTCTTTGCCATTTCAATAGTCCTTTATTGACTATTGTGAAATGGTTAAATGCCTGATTATTTAAGAAAAAAATATTCTGATCAGGTTTGAAAAACTTTCAGATTTCAGGCAACTTTTACAGTAAAAGCATAGTTCATATTTTTACCCATGTTCTCTCTCTCTCTCTCTCTCTCTCTCATCCTTCTATCATTTATTTATCTGTTTGTCTATCAGTCTTTTAATGAATCCATCTCTATCCTGGTGTCCATTTCCCTAAAGTTAGGTGAAGCCCCAGGTATATATTCAAGAGAAATGCATAGCATTCAGACAAAAAGCATGGGAATAGCCTTTTGAGTCATGTGTCAGCTATCTATGAATAGAGGCACAATGGCTTAGTGGCTTCATGACTAACACTGTGTGGTGGGATGAGCTTCTGTCACTCAGTTTGAAAGCTTGTTGTATGCAAGTAGATAAATAGGTACCACTTCAGTGGGGAGATGAGTTGGTGCACCGTGCAGGAAGTCAGATTCCTGCAGGCTCTGAACCTTCCCAGTTGTGGCATCAATTTGCAGGATGGCTTTGAGGAGAGAGGGGGCCTTGGATGACATTGCAGAAAGAGCCGCTCGTCTTTCTTTCTGGTGTGAAGCCAGCTCACCCTTCTATGATGCACCTTGGGAAGTGCATAAGTGTTTCCTACAGCAGAGCTGGTAACTTGGCAGCCAAACCACTACTCTGCAGTAGGCATTGTGCTCTCCTGGCTAATGTAACAATGCCATACAATATACAGACATCTAGCCCACAACATGCCTGATATCACAATTGTGGAAAAGAGAAAAGTCTGGTTCATTGATATTGCAATACCAGGTGATGTACGAATTGAGGAGAAACAGCTAGAAAAAAATAACAAAATATTGTGATTTGCAAATTGAAGTTCAGCAATTATGGAGGAAGAAATCAATGGTTGTACCAACAGTAATAGGAACCCTTGGAGCAATACCCAAAGGGCTGCCCAGATACATGCCGATATACTCAGATGCTACCATAACAACTCTTAGGTCTTTAGTTCGGACTTGACTGTTACATTTTTTACCAGTCGCAGACTGTGAATCAAATTGAAGATTAAATCTTTAATAATAGTAATAATGATGCCTAAGGATGTTGTATGAACTTCGTATATCCACGTCAGCACTATGTAGCAACAAGCAGGCCTGGAAATGAATAACTAAGGAAGCGGGTCTCAGCTCTGATTTAAATTAATTGAGCAAAAATTAAAATTACAGAACTAGAATTCTCATTAGGACTTCTGTTTACAAATAACATACACACACACACACATTCTAACATCTAACAGTCTTCCACACTCTTGCTTCTGGAAATGAAAGCCAGGTTGTACCTGACAGTGTTTACACAAGAATTTACATCTTGTGAATTCACTGACACCACTGAGTGCAAAGCACAGGAAGAAAGCACGTTCTTATCTAGACAGAATGGTGTTTTCAATAGACAGAATAAGAAATCACAATATTAAGAATTTCAGTATGATATAACCAAGAAATATTTGAATCTTATGCAGAATGCATCTTTGCTATTTGTTTAGTATTATCTCACACTATGTAGCATGTGTATTTCTATCAGAAAAAGCATCAGTGGGCAGTTCATAATTATTCACATTTTAGAAAGAAAAACATAACCGAGCTGCAGTTAACAACTTTAAAACCCATTTACAAGGAGTGAAGCTTCCTCCTTTTTTAAAATTGGAATTCCAAATAGATACAAGTAGTTCTCCACTGACAACCGTAATGAAGTCTGTCCATTACTGTCATACATTGTGACAGTCGCAAAGTGGGTTACCAACATAACCAGCCTGATTTTACAACCTTTTGTGTGGTGGGCATTAAACAAACCCACAGTCCAGGATGGGCTAATTTTGCTGAAAACCAGAAATAAATGCAGGTTTTTAGCAAAAACGTGATCGTGGACAGTGCAAACAACTGTAAATGTGGGCTGATTGTGCCCACAATGTGGTCACATGACTCTGGGGGGGCAGTGGCCATTGAAATTTTAATCTCAGGTCATAAATACCCAAGGGAGGTCCGCTGTAACTTCAAAGAATCACTAAATTTAGGACCACCTGCGGTTTGATCCTGCTTTATAGTTTTCCTTGTAGAATAAATAATCTTCCTAAAAGATTGTGTTGCATATTTACTATTTTATTGTACAAAGCCACTAGTAGATTTAATTACTTAAATTGCTTCATATTTAGTGAAATTTTATTTTCTTATTACTATGTTAGATAGCAATAAAATACGACCTACAATGTCTAACATTATTAGAATCTGAAAGAGAAAAGAACAGGCGTAAAGTATTCTCTCTGGAACGCCTCCAGTTAAATTCAGTCTTTAGTTAGATAATCTTTGTACAATTATCATTTACTGACAATAATGGAATTTCCTGCCAAATTACCTTAATTTTGAAATTAGGCATATGAAAATTGCTACCAGTGGTTTTCAGAGAACTTATTTCCAATGAAGTATTCTTTAAAATGGAGCATTATTCTGCTTGCAAGAGGGAGAAATGTGAGAAGAATTAGAAAGTTGTTATTGCAGAGTTGCACTATATATAAAATTATTTTCTGCTTCATAATATGTTAGATTTAAATGTTTACAGGTGGCAACATATGGGCAACTTAGTTGGGAAACTGCCTAGAAATACCAGGATTGTTGGCTAGGAAGCAAAAACAAATATTTAGGAGAAAACAATGGAAAACCATTTTGGATCATTGCCAATAAAACTACATTGACATGTGTGAAGTCATCAGGAGTCAAGGAGAACTTATTTTTAATATTCTCTTACAGTATAGGTAGTCCTCGACTTACGACCACAATTGAGCCCAAACTTTCTGTTGCTAAGTGAGACAGTTGTTAAGTGAATTTTGACCCATTTTATCACCTTTCTTGCCATAGTTATTAAGTGAATCACTGCAGTTGTTAATTTAGTAACACGGTTACTAAATTGACTTTGCTTGTCAGAAGTTTGCGAAAAGTGATCACATGATCCCAGGACACTTCAACTGTCATAAATATGAGTCAGTTGCCAAGCATCTGAATTTTGATCATGGGGATTCTGCAATGGTCATAAGTGTGAAAAGTGTTCATAAGTCACTTTTTTCAGTGCAGTTGTAACTTTGAATGGTCACTAAATGAACTGTTGTAAGTCAAGGACTACCTGTAATCTCACAATACCATTTGAATAATATGGTTGACATTTTTTCCTCAGTGATTATCTTATTGCTTTTTAGAAATAATAAGATTAGTAAAAATGAATGGAAAATATATTTGTATAAATTAAAGTTTTTTATTCAAATTTATTTATTCATGTCTGATTCTTGGATAACTAACAATCTCCCTGTTTCTAGACTGGTGTCCTAATTACCTCACCAAACTAACTCTTTATGGCTTTCCAAATATTAATTGTAGTTAATATTGTGAAGTGGTTACTGAATTAACACATCTACCACAAAGGGAATAAAAATCTTTCACATAAATTCTTTCTGTGAAAGTCATTTGTCTTTAGTCATTAAAAATATAGATGAGCACCTTGTTATTTTAAACTATTATTCAACCGTGTATTAATAAAACAATGAATTCCCAAAGCAATATTGTCATAGTGATATAGTATGATTATTAAATTATTGACAAAATCAAATTAGTGTTCTTTTACCTTAAAATTCAAGAAGCAAACAGGCATCATATACAAGAAACAATTCTATTACGTACATGCTTAAGAAACAAAGATCTCACATTTATACAGATTATTGTATTGAGGTTTGAAGCAGACCTGGTTATTAGTTTCTGCCCTTTGCATAAGTTGAGCGCATAATTAGAGGAAGTAATTTTTAAAAGAAAGTTTTATATCTCTTACAGCATGTTAGCCACCACATTTCATTTATAATAATTAATAATTTGGCAATAATAATTTGCTACCTTAGAAAATTCAGATGATGTGACTTTTTTACTGCCATATATTTCCTATTTAATGTGTAATATTGGTAAAAACAAAATTCTTTTAAAAACTCTGCTGCCCAGTTGTATCATTAGCAATTAAACTCCACTATTTTCAATGGAACT